CACTGACGATTCAAACGCAAGTTTTGAGCAGTGTAGAGTAGGCTTTTACATTTACACGGCGCGATACGCAACGCAAAGCGTAAAAAGACAGTATAAGTCTTTATAATCAGTAATTATGTCCCCACTGGATGCAACAAATGCCTCGTTTGTAATGGGTTTTATTGGTTTTGTCTCGTCACGCCGGAAGACGGCATCACAGTATGGTAAGGGGCGTAACATTTCTGTCTCACGCTTGAGGTATTCGGCCAATCACAACGCACTGGATTGCTGGGCAATCAGAGCACACCTCGCTTTTCAGAACGATGAGCTTTGTAAAAATCGAAGCGTTTCAGAAAGGCGGGGCACAGAGGAGAAACAATAATGTACAGTATGTGGAAAATAATGTGTTTTTTTAACCTTAAACCACATAAACACATTGCATTACACCAAATACACAACATAATGTTCTTTTTAGCAACGTCATATGACCCCTTTAATATCGCCATATACCTACTACAAAGATTTTCTATGTAATACAAAATAATAATATTAATTACTTCACTCCAGCAGAGTAGCTAATGACAGGGAAGAAGAGGCCGTCTACGTTGAAGTTCTCAAACATTCCCTGTACTGGATGGCCATTGATACGGAAGGAGATACTGGGCACACTCAGATCCAGACAGCAGCTCACAACGTCATCTGCTGCCAGGATGTGCTGGTTGGGTGAAGCCACCTGACGTGACACATGACCTACACAGACCAAAAATATGGTTGAAGGACCATAAACACTCACACATATAGAATGCGCAAGATCACCACATTTACCTGACCACAAGTGAAGGCCATCAAAGCCATAAGAATAGAGGTCATCGCCCACACCGTTGCCACCCCAGCCCTCTCCTCCTCCTGGGTACGGACTGAAGCCCTCAGTCAGAGCCCAGCCAACACGCAGATGGGTAGCCTGAGCTGTCACAAATGGTTCCACATAGTCCACCATCACCTCATAGTACCACTTCTTATACTGTGTAGAACCTTCACAAGTCCCCAAGAAGATATTGGGCCTCATGCTACAAGGAGTAAGTGATATTTATTGCAGTAAACGGTTTGAAATCTTTTTAATTTCTTTGATTTAGCACACTTTTTAACGAACAAAAGCTGCAGTAAACGACAAAAGGTGCGATGCAGCATTTTTAATTGGAGAAAAACCTTTATATCTCAACAGATATTACCTTGATACATAGTTAACGATGTTAGTCTGCAGCAGGAGGTCACGGCCCGGAAGCAAATTTTCTGTGATGAGGTTTTGATTGGACCTCACAGCAACACCGTTACACACACACAGAGAGTGCAATACATCTAAAACCTGTCAAGACATAGGCAAAGGAGAGTGAGATCTTCAATGTGTCGCAAAATGATAAATGTGAGTTGACCTAAATCACGTTTGCAGTCAGACCTTATGATTTCGACCGTGCTTGTCCAAGAGAGAAATGATAGACCTGATGTGATTCTCCTGAATGATGTTCAAGACTTCAGGACTTTCAATCAAAACACAATACAGCACCTCTAGGATGCCTGAAGACCAACAGATAAGTAAGAATTATGAGAGCAAGAAGTATGTGGCAAAGTTTAAAGACAGATTGTTAGTCATTTTGTGCCATTTGTTGACCGTGTGCTGGAGGAAGGTGTTATAAATACCTGAAGAAGCTTCCAGACGATCCAGTTTACTAACCAGCCAGTCCAGGTTATCGCAAAACAGAGCACAGTTAGAACGGTTTCCTCTAATCAGTGACGCTGTGAAAACAGAGACACATTCACAAATCTAATCCATCAATATAATCCAAAAAATCAATAAGTAATGAAGAATGAATATAAAAAAATATTTTTTTTTGGGATTAAATTATGCCTTTTACATGCTATTCAATAAATGTTATATATTTAATAAATAATTTAAATTAAGTATTTCTTTTTTTCCCCCTTAAGTCTCTTATGCTCATCATGGCTGCATTTAGTTAATCAAAAATACAGTAAAAAAGGGTGATATTTTTAAATGAGAAAAAAGTAATAATGTGAAATATTCATTTTAAAAGACATATTTTAAAATGCAATCATAACCATTATTAATAACTGATCACTAATAATAATTGATAGTAATCAGCATATTAATTTTTTTCTGAAGGATCATGTCACCACAGAAATAAATTACATTTTAAAATAGAAAACAGACTTTTTAAATTGAAATATTTCACAGTATTACTGTTTTTTTATCAAATAAAGGCAGTCTTGGTGAGCATAAGAGACTTCTTTCAAAAACATTTTAAAAAAAATCGTATTTATTCAAAACTTTTGACTAGTAGCGTATATTTATATTTATTTATATTCAGTCACCAAGCAGTTCATAGAGCAGGTTGACAATCTCTTTCCAGGACTCAGCAGCTTCCTCTCCGGCAAACTCAGAGAAGTGTGCAGCAGTGTTGTAGACATTCAGCCGGTCGATACATTCCAGCACAATGGTGATCATCCCCTGCAACAAGAAAAGAAACATTCATTAAAGGGGATCGGGGCTGATTGTCAGACAGACAGGCACAAACACACACACATACCTCTTCTTGGAAGAGGTTCTGTCGGTTGCGTAGAGAACGCAGCTTGGTCTGTTTCTCCTCATGTTCCAGCTCCTCCTCTGGAGGCCGGAAGTAATGGATTAGATCCTGCAAGGACAGGATCACTGCATCCAGTGGCAGGGACACCGGACCAGGGGATTTGTTCTTCCCACTCAGAGAGTCCAGACCTCTGATGTAAGAGAGAGAAGAGGATGCATGCACATTTACACACACACACACACGCACACACACACACACACGCGCACACACACACAAGAAAATATAAGGCAACTGTCTACAAATATTTTCTTAAATTATCAGTCTGAATAGGCAAATTTTCAGAGCTTTTCAGTAAACTTATTTTACTCTTTTTAAAAAAGAATAATTTTATTATAATTATTTATAAAATACTTGTCAAATGTATTTATTTATTTATTTATACATACATACATATATACATACATTCATACATACACACCAAAAGTTTGGGGTCAGTAAGATTGTTTAATGTGTTTGAAAGAAGTCTCTTATTTTCGCCAAGGCTGCATTTATTTGATTAAAACAATATAAAATATTTTATATTTTATATAATATTAATAATATAAAATATTATTTAATAATATCATATTTATATAACAATATTTTTTTATATATTTAATAAAAATGTTGTGAAATATTATTGCAATTTAAAATAACTGTTTCAACTTTAATAAACAATAAAATATAATGTATACCTGTGATGCCAAAGCTGAATTTTCACATCAAATGATCCTTCAGAAATCATATTAATATTCTGCTTCAAAAAACATTATCAATGTTGAAAACATTTCAATTTCTTTGATCGATAGAAAGTTAAAAAGAACAGCATAATTTTAATTTAGTTTAATTATTTCATTTTTAATTTAATATATTTGTATTAATGTCTTGCTTAATAAAAGTACACTTTTATTAAAAATAAAAATAAAAAAACTGCACCAAAATTTTGAACATTAATTCCTAACATTTAACCAAAAAACGTCATATTGCTTATATTTTCACTTTGTTTTTTTATCAAACAATAAAGGTAACCATTAAATATCACCAAATTCTTATTCTGCCAATAAGGTATTACACAATATTCAGTGTGACCGTATAATATACAGTATAAATAAACGTTAGATTGTATGTGATGCACAGTCGTACTTGATGAACTGTGTAAAAAGGCCTGTGGTGCTGTAGATCATACGAGCAGCCTGAGACTCTTCCATCTGAGAGCGAGAGCAAGTCAGTGCATCATCCATATGGCCCTCTTGATGTAATATGGCCTGAAAGAAAGATAAAGAAAGAGAGAAAGAGTTTGGTTTAAATGTAAGATCATAAGAAACACAACAGTCTGAAAGGCTTGACATCAGGTATATGAATTGGTAGCATGTGGTTTGTAGTTCAGCGAGCTTCATACCCTTCTCTTCATGGTTCCCAGGCGAGCCGCTTTAGCATCTAAAGCAGCGTATGTGAGCCACAACCCTGTGGAAAGATGCTGCATAAAACACATGGACTCGCCATACTTGATCTCAGGGACACCCATTCCTTCCACATCTCGCTTCTTCTGAGCCCCCTCCACCTTCTCCTGTTCTCCAGGAATGAGAAATGCTGTTAGAATTTGATAACTAGTAAAACTGGCAAAATAAAAGCAGATATTTTTTTAATTATACAAGTTCAAACCTACCTTTGATGCACGGAAACAGAAGGCCGACATCTTGGTGTTGGCTTTCTCTGGATCCAGAACCATTAGACCTTTCTCCTCGTCCAGACACAGGTACCGACCTGTTGTGATGTGGCGTACGCGGAAGGCCTGGCCCCACTTCATGTGGCTACCGCTCCAACTGCAGAGAAATAACAGATATGTATTACAAAACGTATATGCAAAATCATAATAATAATAATATTTAATAATTATGTCACAGTTAAAGGGGTCATATGACGTTGCTAAAAAGAACATTATTTTGTGTATTTGGTGTAATGCAATGTGTTTATGTGGTTTAAGGTTAAAAAAACACATTATTTTCCATATAATGTACATTATTGTTTCTCCTCTATGCCCCGCCTTTCTGAAACACGTCGATTTTTACAAAGCTCATCGGTCTGAAAAAGCAAGGTGTGCTCTGATTGGCCAGCTATCCAGTGTGTTGTGATTGGCCAAATACCTCAAGCGTGTGACGGAAATGTTACGCCCCTTAACATACTGTGATGCCGTCTCCCAGCAGGACGAGA